TATTATTATCAGTGTTGAAAAAAGTTGTGCTGCTTCATATTTTTGTGGAAACTGAGACACTTTTTTTTCCAGAATTCTTTAATGGATAGATTTTTTTTACACCAATTGTAGTATTAACTTTGTTACCCAAGTTATTGTTAACTAATTGGTTGGTTTCATAAGTTTTATGAAAAATATTGTATCTTAAATTTTTGGAATTTTATTTTAAAATAAGGTTATCAGTAACTACAAACCAATATTTGGTCCCAAAATATTTCCCAATCCTTGCAACCTTCATAACCATTCTGGCATTTTTTTAAACAAATTTTGATTTAATTTTTGTTTGTGGCATCTTATTTAACCCTCTGGGGTCCTTCATTTCAGAGTCACACTCAGGACCTTCGGGTCCAAATGGGCCGGAAGGGTGGGATTAATATTTATTTTAAAAAAATCATATATTTTTTTTTACTTGTTTTTTATAATATTTTTTCTTTTCTTTTTTGGTGTTTTGAGATAATTTCAAAAATAAAAATGATTTATAATTAATATTAATGCAATAATTATGACCCATTTTTCCCCCATTGAATATAATAGAATTTTTTTTTTTTTTTACATTTTAAAGCTGTATTTCATTTTAGAGTCAAGCCTAGGCCTCATGAAAGCAATTTCTGAAATGAGATGGATGCCATCTGGTGGACAAACTGAGCATTTTAAAAATTCAAAACCCATATGTAATCTGAATTTATTAGTGTGTATGTGTATAAAAGTGTGTTTGTGTGTGTGTGGATGTGTCTGTTTTGCACTCTTGATGTTTTATAGATTCCCCCCTTCACTGTTGTGTGCTTTTTTTCTGGATCGTGGCTGATTTGTAGATTGTACGCACAAAAAAACTCTGTATTTTCACATTTTTGCCAATTTCCCATTCATTTCCTATGCGATCGGGTCCATTTGGACCCGAAGGTCCTGAGTGTGACTATTTTTTTTACAACCACTTAGACTATTCAAATCTTGTCCCCAATTTTTTGGGTGTTCATATACCAAGTACCAACAAAGTCACCAAATTTCGGACCATTCCGATAAAGCTATGATTTTTAAAAAGAAATTATTTAAATGCTTCGGGTCCATTTGGGTTAATGCTTGAAAACAGAGAAAACACACTGATCCTTTATTTAAAGACTCCCTCTGTGTTTCGACTTTATAATCCCTGAATAATTTAGAAACATAGTCTATCCATTAATAAATCAACAAATACACATAATATGATTACTACATTAAAACTAGGATACTCTGATTTTCTTGTCCACTCAGGGTAATGTTCGCCCCAACACGTGTACTCGCCCTCTGTGTGGCACTTAATGTTTGGAAGTACACAGCTTACATTGGATTGCCTTCAACTTTTGTGCTGAAGGCTGAAATTTGTGCTGACGTTGTTGAGTTCACACTTCCAGGCTCGAGCACAGCTGTCCTGGACCATCTGCCCAGTGTGAGATAATGCAATACTCTTCACATCCTCCACTTCCACCTCCGCTATTAACACTCCCGCTCTCGCATTCACTCAGACAAGAACATATAGATGGAAGAGACAGATGCCTGTCGTCATTTACTCATGTTGTTCTGTTATGACTTGCTTTCTTCCGTGGAACACAAATGGAGAAATTTAGTAGAATGTTCTTGCTGCTCTTTTCCATACAATGAAAGTGAATGGCGATCAGAAGCTGTCAAGGCTACAAAAATGACAGAAAGCACCAATAAAGTGGTGTTTCACACACAAAGCTATCATGGCTTCAGAAGATTTGGAATATAGCGCAGAGTCGTGTGAAATACTGTTGTGATACTCTTTGTTGGTGTAGGGTTGCAACAGGCGTTTGTACGTTTTTACTTAAATCGGAACGTAAAAGTCCACATTAGAGGTTTAGTAACTAGTTAGTTTGTAATGTTGTGCTTAATTTAAATGAGCTTACATTTGTTCTTAAAGTCACCATGAAATCAAATTTGATGGAATATTATATTGCAGTATTCCATCAAATTTATCCATGCAGCATTATTTATTTATTTTTTTACATAAATTTACCTTCGTTGTCCTTAATCAATATTATTTCCCCTGCCGCTTTCAAAAACATATCTTCTCTTCCCTGATGATGTGTTTACTGGCGTGAGGGCGGGGCAACCTGTCACTCACATGAGATCCACCAATAGCAAATCCAATCAATTCCCCATGGACAAAATCAAGTCCCGCCCTACATTTGTCCTTGTTCCAGTAGCCGTTTCACTCCGATATACAGTACAGCACGGCACAATAGGGAAGACTTTTGCAACTTCCTTGTCGTGCCAACTATAAGGTAGAACGTAGCTAGTAGGTTGTAAGCTCTCCATAAATTAATGTGTGGTTGCATAATATTAAAGTTAACCTTCAATGATCCAATGGCAGCCTTCAAAATCCTGAGCAGAAGTTGTTGAATTTCAGTTTATCCTGTTAAGGTTGATTCTAACTAATGTTACCTCATGTAATTTCCACTGAAACGATGCTTAATCATGAAATAATGTAATCAATTACTGTATATGCAAATAACATTCCAAATCTATGGAAGCTAGGTTCCACCAATAATTTTTTTATTATTAAAAGGCTACTTTTTTTCTCCCAATTGTGAGTTTTATCTAGCAATTCAGAGTTTTTTTTCTCAGAATTGGACTTATCACAATTTAGAAAAGAAGTCAGAATTGAAAAACTGTGAAAATTGCGAGATTTAAACACGCAATTGTGAAAATTTATATCTGAAATACTGACTTTTTTCTTGCAATTCTAACTTTTTGTCTCGCTATTGCGACTTTATATCCTGCAATTCTGACCTTATTTCTTGCCATTCCCAGACAGCAACACGTGGATTCCACACGGCCCAGATGTGGGCCGACATTATGTTGCTGTCTGGGTTGCAAGTTTACATCTCGTAATTCTGAGAGAAAAAACAAGTCAGAATTCCAAGATGTAAACTCGCAATTGTGAGGAAAAGGCCGAATTGTGAGATAAAAAGGCACATATCTTTTAAATTGTTTTATTTTGTGGCGGAAACAAGCATACCAATCGGTATTCATAATTAATAGCAATAAATAAATACTGATACAAAAAAAAAAAAAAAACAACAAGAAATGGCATTTATGATTGATTGATTTTATTTGGCAAGCACATGGAGGACGCACACAAAAGTTTGCCGTTTAGATCGGGTTCGTGTTGAACAAGTCTTTTATTCACAATGTTCTCTCTATTAAAATGTAAACAAGTAAATGTCAACATCACCACATGTCTAAAGAATTTGTCAGGGAATCAATCTGTGTTTTTATTCCAAGTCCAGCCATATTACTCCAGCTCGAAGGCTTCTGTAAATATTTAGTTTATACGTAGGATTACGTTTCAATTAAGTGTACTAAATATTTAATAGTGCGTGACTTTAGTGCCCCTGTGTCGCAACGAAGTGCAACATGTTTCCGGTCACCAAAGAGCAACATCAACATTGTGCCAAACAGCTCCTTCTGTGTAAATGAGGATTTTAAGGTAAACGTCATTCAGTTTCAACTCCGAATAAGAATTCAACGCAAGCCGTTGCATACCAAACAAAAGCTGATACATTTATTGATGCATTTGCGCTATAAATGTGGCGTCGACAGTCGTAATGCAAGCCTTTGGAGAAAACAGACTCACAAACCAGTGTTTCAAAAGTCCATATCTGTTGACCCGCGTTGTCTCTCTCAGAACAAAGCAATGTTCCACAAATTAAAATTTACTACAGCCGTCACATAAACATCACACACAATGTTAATTTAAACCGCTGTATACTCTGCAACCTTCAACCGTATTCTTCAAGCGTATAAATCAAGGCTGGTGTTTTCAGTTGGCTGAGACTCGGTGTGTGGATACATCAGCCGCTGGAAGCGAGCCCAGTCGTCACTGCTAATGCTAACAGTCATGTATTTGTAGCATAGCACCTCGCTAAGATGGGTCATCCACACCGCTATAAATAAGGAGCTAGCGGTTACACTCGGCTTTCAGAAAGAGACGGCATGTAGCTGCGAGCTATGCATTATCATATTTAATCACCCCTACTAACCTGCAGTCAATTTCACTGTAAACACAATTTATGTTGTAAACTCGTCAGCAAGAGTGATGTTTACAAGCTTCTTTACGCGGCATGAAAGGGTTCGTGAACAGCATTTATTGGATGTAATCCTTGTAGAGTAACATAAGTGATCTGCAGATCTTACACACTGTTGGTTTTAACGTACGAAGCGAAACATTTATAGCATCTCTTATTTTCTGGCCGATATCGAATTCGTCATTATAAAACGCAATCAACTCGGAACGGACTCGATTTTAAGACATGAAGAGGAAAACCGTACGAGGCTTTTTAATACGTGTATTTCTATAGCTTAAGTCTGACGCTGTAGCAGCAGTTCTGAGACACTTCTGCCAAGCTGCATCACTGACACACGACAACAACATTACCAAACAAAACTGGCCGTCGATCAGCTCTTAATAATATCAGTTCATCTACAATTCTCATGGTCACTTTCACAAAAACTACACTTCAAAAAGTTCTAGATAAACGCATCCTGGTACAAAAATGCAACAAAATTCAAATCGTGTAATAAAAAATAAGGGTAGAGTGTAAATATATATTCATATTTATACATTTCTAGATGTATTTACAAGAAAGGCTGTGAGTTGCCCGTTGTTAAAATACATTCGGGCAGACCGTTTAGTGGAATACATTTTCTTAAGAATTTGGTCTCGGAGGCAAAATAAAGGTCCTTGTTTAACACCAATAGAAAATATAAACGCTCCCAACGTCCCTCGTTCAGTGACGGCAAGGGTTTCTCTACTACAGATGACATGAGGCGGATATTTCGTTTTGAAAAGTCTCGAGAAGCAAACACGCACCACTTTCTGCTCAAGTGCCCTAGGACAGGTGAAGGGGTCAGTGAACGGCCAGTTTGTTCTCCTCCAGCCGGATCATTAGGTGATGTCCATCCCTGAAGTGTGTGTGCTCTGTGGCAAAGCGTGTTCTCCGTGAGTTCATCCCGACAGGTCACACACTGCGGAGTGAGGGAGCTCAGCGCTTCTTGAACGCCACCCCGCGGTTGGGGTGCGGGGGGAATTTGGGCAGGCAGGGCTCATCAGCGCCGGGGTCGTGAGAGAACACTGAGTCTTCACCGGAAGAGCAGGTAGAGCTGCGGGTGTCCGGGAAATTTGGAGAAAATTGGTCCAGAGACATAGACAGGTCTAGGTACTCCTGAAAATGTCAAACGTACACAAAATGTAGTATTTTTCATTTTTTGTTACCATAACAACAACCACAATTATTTAATAAACAATAACATTTTAATTGTAATTCTATTTAATATTAATAATTATAATAATCAACAACACTAACGTTGTTGTTCTTGTTTATTATTATTATTATTAATTATTGACCAATTATAACAATAAAAATAATAATAATCATGGACTGCTTTAGATGAAACAGGGGTCATAGCACTTGCACATTGTTGTCCTACTGTTAGTTTCACTGCTTCTATTGTTAGCGTCTGCTAAATGTAAATAATAAATATTATATTATTTTATCTTGTTAATGCATTATTATTGATATTTTTAATTATTGAATAATAATATAATAATCATCATAAAAAGCAAATAACAACGTTCTTGTTTATTTTTATTATTATGTGTTAATGTTTTATTATTGATATTGAATAATACAAACTATTATTATTATTTATTATTAATTACTGTGTAATGATAGTAATAATAATTATGTTATTGTTATTATTATCATTATTATTTGTTAATGTATTTTTATTGATATTAATAATTATTGAATAATTAATTTTGATTGTGACAGCATAGCTCTAGGTATATTAAATAACTATTGAATAATAATAATTATAATAATAGTAAATTAAAAAAAAAATATTATTATTTTTATTTGTTAATGTATTATTACTTATATTATTATTATTGAATATTGATAATTCATATTATTAATGATTGAATAATAATAGTAATAATTATTATTATTATGCAATGTATTATCGGTTTATTATTAGTAATAATCTGAATAATCATCATCATCATCAGTAATAATGTTGTTCTAGTTCATTGTTATTATTTGTTTACTGATCAATAACAATAATAATGTTATTATTATTATTATATACTGATATATATTGATATTAATTACTGAATAACAAAACCAACAATAACAATTTGTCAATTCATTATAATTGATATTAACTATTGAATAATAATAATGATAATTATTATATTATTATTATTAATGGTTGAATAATAATTATAATTAATGTATTATTATTTATGATTGAATGACAACGACAATAATCATTAGTTAATTACTTATTATTATTAAATAGTCACAATTATTGGAAATAATTATAATAATTAATTAAAATAATAATTATTGTCCAATTCATTCATTCATTAAGCACAGCTGAAATGTCGTGCAATGTATTGAAAGCTGGTTTGTGGATTATAAAGCTGTTCCGGGGTGCGTTTCCCAAAAGCATCGTTAACCAACTCCGCTCGCCAGTTCCACTGAACTCTATTGGTCCCGACGGAAGTTTGGGAAACGCAGCCCTGATCCGCTCCTGCTTCTGCTCACCTGACAGGACGACATGGAGAGTGTGCGGTCCAGATCCTCCACCAGCTGTTTGAAAGTGGGTCTCTGAGACGGGACGGCATGCCAACAATCCCTCATCATCATATACCTGCAAGAGGAACGTCAGAAGATCATCAGAAGATCTCTAGCACCATCATGACAGAAGTCATATCATTACTACAAGCTTACAGTTCATGGGTGCATGTGGAGGGCCGGTCCATGCGGTGGCCTTCCTTTAGCAGTTTAAAGAGTTCCTCGACTGGGACACCTGGGTACGGTGAGCCGCCCAGAGTAAAGATCTCCCACAGCAACACCCCAAAAGACCACCTAACACACCATCACAATGACCATTATTAACAGACAAAGGCATTATGTATCCGAGTGTTTGAGAGAATGTGTTCAGACGTACACGTCGCTCTGATGGGTGTAAATGCGGTCGAACAGAGCTTCAGGGGCCATCCATTTCACTGGTAAACGACCCTGTGAAAAACACAATCACTTTATTCACCAACTCATCAAATCTGTTACAGATTACAGATTATAGATCAGCATTTGTGACAATCCCGCAGAGAGGATTTTATAATTATGGCTCAAAGAAAATCAAAACGACGAGAATCATACAAGTCCCCCTGTAGTCAATCTTCAAACTCACCTTTGATCCCCAAAATGACATATTTAAACGTGTTTTTTTTTTCTTGAAAGAAGGAATGCCTTAACACATCTTGAAAATAACTCTACACCCTTGCCTCATTTAGTCCTGGGACCCAGGCATAGACTTTTGTCCACTGTAGAGGACATCAGGACTTAAATCATGTTTATCAGGCATTCTGGGAGACACAACAAGTGAATATGTAAATCAATAATACATCAATATTCCTATGAAATATTAGATATTATTATTAAAAATGTTACTAATTATTACTCCAATTATTACAATACACTTCTTTTTTCATTAAATGTTGCTCCAAGAACACATTAATGTGCAAATTAGATACCGTGTATAGATACATTGCATTGAATGGGAATATTAATTTATGCCCATTTTACCCACATATTGCATAAAAGTAAAATGGTGTATCAATTAATTCCGTTATATCTTTCATAACATAGTTGAGAATCATCTTTATACAAATTTTGGTTTAAAAAAAAAATCCTGAAACCCCAAAATGTATTGGTGATATCCCATTGTTTTTGCCTATACATATAATTTGATGTCATTTAATTTGTTTAACAACTGAGTCCTGGTGTCCACTACAGAGGACATAGCAGAACATATGAATCAAATATAATTTAATAAAAAAACAACAACAATGCTCTAAACAATGTGATGACATGAAAAAAACTAAATTAAAAAAATTCTGGTTCTCAGAAGGATACGCAGTTCTATGATTATGCAAATGATCCCCGCCTCCACTCACTCACAGCAGCTCAGAGATCCACTCGTTGACCTGATTGGTTACATGCAGGGTTTGAAATGAGCTTTTTCACTCACTGGCAAATTTGGCAACTACATTTTTAAGTTACCGGCCATTCAAAACTTCTACTAGCCAAAAAAATAATAAAAAAAACCTGATTAACTACGTCACAGCTATATATATATATATATAATTTGGAAATCCTGTCATCCAGCATCTCCTCCCTTCCTCTTTTATCCTCATAATTTTCACCAAAAATGTGTTTTAGGTAGTGCTGTCAAACGATTAAAATATTTAAATCGCATTAATGTCATAGTTAACTCGCAATTAATCGCACATTTTTATCTATTCTAAATGTCTCTTGATTTCTTTTTGTCCCATTATTTTCTCTTATTTTAATGCTCGTATCAACATGGAAAAGTGGATCGGCTTGCTTTGTGGAAATGTTTTTTATTGAAAACAACATCGGCATATACTGTGTTCAATTTCACACTAACATTCTCGCTTGGAGCAAATAATCTCTCACACAATGTAAAACTGTCCATCAATAAAAGGGTGAAAGAAATACTGACGAGGTCCTGATATTGACGAGGGGGCGGAGAATTCGCATCAGCTGTGTGTGTGTGTGTGTGTGTGTGTGTGCTTGGCCATCATCAAGCGGTATTTCAGACTGGACGTGCTGCGATGACGATAGCTCAGTTCACAACGACAAAACACACAGATCACTTTGGTCTTGTCAATGGAACCATTTGGTAACTTTGTAAAAGTAAACTTTCCATTCAGAATCTTATTGGCATCGATTTCGGCGTCTCGCGCTCGTCATCCACTCAAAACGTAATGTTAACCAACTATTTGGCCGGCTCGCAGACCCAAACAAGTGTGTGCGGCGTGCCTGTTGTTTTGTTTCCGGTCTAGCTAGATCCGCTTGCGCTTTCAAAACGTCCTCGCGCGGCGCAAACCATTGAAATGAATGGGTTTCACCGCACATGCCGCGTCCTGTTGCAAAAGCATGTGAAAAAAAACTACAAAGTTTGCTAGGCCAAAAAGACCGTTAATCACGCGATAAAAAAATTAACGCCGTTAAAATGGGTTTGCGTTAACGCCGTTAATAACGCGTTTAACTGACAGCCCTAGTTTTAGGTGGACAGATCAATACAGTACAAAGAACATCAAAAAAAAATTGGATGTTGGAAAATAATGTATTTTCTTTTCTGTTAACCAGATACTTTTTAATCTTCGCTATTGCTTCAATGCAAATGAACAAGCGCGCCGTTATTTGTTGTGTAGTGACGTGTGTGTTCAAGTAAGCCAGATATGCACAGATTATGCACAATACGCTGTATTTAATATATCACGATGACTCACAAGTTCAGTATTTAAGTATAAACATAATAAGTAACACGCAAAATTGGCTAGTGATTTGACAGCGTTACTCGCCACAGCAGATTTTTACCCGCATTTGGCAGGTGTTAATTTCAAACCGTGGTTACAAGGTCGTTTGTGACGTCAGAAACACCAGCGATTTCAAACCGTGTTTTTGAGACTGTCTTTGGTTCACTGCAGTTTTAAGGAGAAAATACTCAGCAATGCTGTCAACTTATGAATTTACACATGGTTTGTCTTAAAGCATATTAAAAACACCACATAGACATATAAACAACATTAAAAGCTGGACTTACACCACAGGGGGACTTTAAGATACAGATAGCATCAGATAGCACTCAATGCAAGAACTAAAAGCAATGGAAGACCAGATTAAAAACTGGCGTTTAATAAAGTGACTTTTCTGATGTGTCTCAGTCTGAAATCTTACATTGGTGGTTTTCTTGTAGTAATCGATATGATGGATGTCCCTGGCCAGGCCGAAGTCGGCTATCTTCATCACGCTGTCTTCAGTTACCAGGACATTACGGGCAGCCAAGTCTCTATGAATACACTACAACAGTGAAAACACACATGTACATTAATCAAGGGAACAATTATAAAGACGCCATTTGACTGCTATCTATGAGAACAGAAGAGATGGCGACCTTCTTGGATGAAAGGTACTCCATGCCACGAGCCACCTGGTAGGCGCAGGAGATCAGGTCTTTGATTGACATGTTCTCCACGGGCCCCTGGTCGGGGTTGTAGCAATACTCCATCCCAGGTGGACGGCGCACACGCAGATACTCTCTCAGATTCCCCTTTGCAGCAAACTCCACAAGGACGTACAGCGGACCTGACAAAGGCCATATGAAACATGATCAGTCTTTACCGGAGAGGCCACAGTTTTTGATACACTAATGTGTGATTCAATAAGGAAGTTAGGTTCGTTTAATCTAGCCACGTGAAATCACAACAGCTGGACTGATGACAACCTTTTGAAGCAGAGTGATTTTGAAATGTGATTTACGCCCATTATCTCTAAGCGCTTCCCTCCGCCCATCCGCCTTCTTAATTCACCCTTTACTCACCATCTTGTGTGCAGGCCCCCAGCAAGTTGATGATGTTCTTGTGTTTGCCAATGATCTTCATCATTTCCATCTCGGAGATGAGATCTGACAGGTCCTTCTCTGTGGCGTCGGCTATAAAAGCAATATTGATGAACACACGTATATCTTAGTATGACAGATCGTGGAACCTTCAACCTCTACGCCCTGAGGGACAAACAGGTTATTATATTCATGCTTTCCTTTTTCAGATATTTTCCGGTGTGGACTTTCAATACAATGACATGAAAAAGCATCCAGAACATCATCGGATGCATTTCCGAGCTATACTAAATTCTCGGTGGAAAATAATGTAGCATGACAATTGATTTTATTGGATAGTTAAAAAAAAATCGGCTATGCCACTATTAGGATTTTCTATAGAATAATGTGTATTGATGAACTGTGTACAAGTTCAGAAACATTTATTATTTTTGTTTAGCAGGTTAATTCAATCACTGTTTTTTTTTACCATTTATAATGCTGTTGAGAATAATACTGTCTATGTATGATACATTACAGTTCAGTAAGTGAGTCAAATGTGAATGCATTGAATAAATCGAATGGATAACGAGAGTCTGGGAGTTTGTTTCAGTAATCGGTTCATAAGAGTCATTCATTTGTGAATTAGCCTACTGTACAGTGGTCAAGCTCGATGTTTGCTAAGGCTCCCAGTTACTTAGGACTTAAAGGGGTGGTTCAGGATTTTGGACATCGGGCCTCATTTCCAAGTTAGCCTTAGTGTTATTTATCAGTGGAGACAGTTTTCAAAAATGGTCATCCAGTCGTTCCAGTTGCGTAGTTCGCCGGTGCTAGGCTAGCGCGAGTCAACGGTAACTGCTAGCCTGCCATTAAAAACAGTTTTAATAAGCCCCTTTAATAAGACTAAGAGAAAACTGTTGTTCATTTTTATTTATAATGTTTCATACAGGAGAGAAGCCAGTCAGCCGAGTTTGTGGCAAAACCTTTTACAGTGCTTGTATATTGTTGTCTTTTACGGCATATGTTAATTCATTCTCAGAAAGTAGAACTGAAATGACAACTACAATGAAAACTGAAAATATAAAAATAAAAACGAATTCAAAATATGAATAAATACTATAATAGTACATAAATAAAACTAAAATAACACAGACGCAGGACACGTCAGCACACACTCTTGTGTTGCCGATGTTTGCTAATGTTTCCGGGCATTGACTCGCGAGGAGAGGACAGGAAACAGACAGACCCCGAATCAGAATAAACAAACTGCTGTGGTACGGTATGTGACACCAGAGCTCAAATAACATGCTTCAGGGTGAAGGTGGAAAACAGACCAGAGCTCAGTGGACCATCAGATTCCTCATGCGATACTGAATTCCAGACAGAGTTTGCTGGCATATTACACCCCACACACACACACGTATCAGCTAACAACGGTGGCAGAAAACACTTACATTTGAGCATCTTGACAGCCACTTTGGTGACACGACTGGGTTTGTCTTTATCCATCCCCATAGCCTCGGCCATCATCACCTGCCCAAAGCAGCCCTCTCCAAGCGGCTTCCCGAGAACCAGCCTGACACACACACACACACAATATCAATCACTGACACTGCATACTTCACCAGGCCATTTTTGTGCGTATATTAGGGCTGCACGTTTAATCGCAATTTACATGAAACCGCACTTAAACCGATTTGGCTTATCGCGATTATGAAATTGCAAAGGCTGCGATTATTTGTTATGCGCAGCTTGTCACTGATGTACGGCTCTGTAAACGCTGCTCCGTCTGAAAGCACTGCGAGTTTGAGTCGCTTATAACGTGCATTTGAAAAAGCAACACACGCCAAACATCTTTCCAAACATGAGAAGCATTTATGAACTTTGTCCAACAAAAAGACAACATTTAATAACATGCTTTTACTCCAAACTCATAACGACAGTTGCGCATCCTTCTGTGAGATGATGTGGCTTCTTACAGAGAATAAGACAGTCGTGTGTTTATTTATTAGTCATGTTTAATCAATCAAAGTATTTCAATCTTCTGTTTATTCAGATAGTATGATGCCCGATAGGGATTGCGTGTTATTGTACGTCTGCGGCGGGGCATATTTGCGTGTGTGTGAGACGCCCCCTGGTGTTGAGATGGATATGTGGCATGTGTGACACCCTCTGGTGTTCAGATAGAACAGGTTTCATTGCGATTAAAGGTACAATATGCAGGATTTTCCACCACCAGGGGTCGCTAACCTCTTACAAGCTGATGGATCTTTTATGGATGAGTGAATACATTGATGTTTTTAACATGACTGTGGTGTGAAGCAGGGCGCGATTGCTAGACGTATAACGTTACCAGCGCCACGCGCAACGCGAGTCCCGCGGATATAAAGGAATAAGGACATTTCATTCTACCGAACTACACGCAAGTGCTGAATTAATACTCACACAGGCCAGTTTATTAGAGGAATTAAACTTGAGGTAACGCAGCGCTGTTTCACTTGCTCTAACAGTTACACTATCACACTAAACGGCATTTGAGTGTGTTGAATGTTGTTAGTTAGGTTGTGTGTTGGCTGTATGAGGCGTTAAGCTAGATCAACATTAGAATAACATACAGATCATATTCTAACATTTCATCATGTTGAACTAAATAACATTGATTAGTTTTATGTACATTTGCTAACCTGTCTGATAAAGTACATGCAACACTCGCATCTCTGTCAAGTCAAAGTTAGTCGCGGACGTGGAGCTCTCGGCATCTCGAAAGATGTCGATCTTCGTTTTAGTCCTCTTTTTGTCTCAAAGTCTGCTTGCCATGGTCCATAATGTTTGAACAAAACAACAACAGCGTGAGCGTCCTTCTAGGCATAACCGGCATAACCCAGTTGTCAACTTCTGTCGCCATGGTTACTATTGCAGTACGAGGTCAAACCTGGCGGAAACCGAGGGTAACGCGGATATGACGCCATTGACTGGCGACTCCTCACACGCCCCGTTTCCTTGGTTAAATTTTCTCACGATTTACAAATAGTTGGAAACATGTGCGATATTGTAAGTAATCAACTAAACAAAATATATAACATTGGCCTAGTGGTTTTTGGATATTTTACTGCAAAAATCCTGCATATTGTACCTTTAATCGTGCAGCCCTAGCATATATGCATCTTTAGTTAGTGAATGATGAGTACAATGTGTGTGTTACCTGTCTCTGTGTACCTCCCAGCGTGGGTCCTGGGGCAGTTCGTACTCGGAGACCCCTGAGAGCATAGGAGAGCCACTGGAGGATAAACGCGAGGGCCGGACCAGCATCCCACCAGAGTGCATAGATGAGCTGGAGTCCACTGACACCTGCACAGAAATACTTACAAATTACTCTCCACACAACACAGCAACACAAATACACCTATGAAGACTGTGGTCTTGTGCGCTCATATGGGTGTATGTGAGTTACTTGGTCAGGGGGCATCTATAGACACTGATGCAGAGAGACGCACTGATATTATACAACAATCATCAACCAAAACAGATCAAAACGGAAATCAAAAATGAGCTCAACAAGAAAACAGTTGAGAAATGAGAAAAGAAGTTTTACATTGGAATCCTGCATGAAACCTTGAGTTTAAATTAGGCATTATATTATTTTTAAACAATATGATATCTTCGTAAAGTTGTGGTCATATTTGTCACATTGTCTGGTGAATTTTTGGGTAACGCTTCCTTTTACAGTCCTGTTACCCATGTACTTACTATGTACTTATTATAGTAATTATAATTACTGGGTAATAACTAGGTACTAACCCTGAACCTACCCCTAACCCGTGTACTTACCTTATATTAGCCAGTACTTTCTAGGTATACACTGTAAGTACACGTAAGTACTGTACTGTAAAAGGAAGCGTTACCAATTTTTGTGGGCCAAATAAAGTCATTTCAATAGGAATAGACACAATCCAAAATTTTGAGTGAGGGCGAACAATTTCCCCATGCTGGTCAAGTAGATTCACAGATGCTTGGTTAATAAGCATCTTGAAACTGACTTTATACATCGCTGCAGGCGAAATCATTTTCAATCCACATGATCAGGAATTTCATGAGGGTGAAAGATTTCCTAGGCAGTTTTCTCGACGGGTTCAAGTTGAGCGCTGCTTGGTTTGAAAGCGCTTCAGACATCGCTAGACTATTGACAGAGCTTTTTTTGCCAATGAAATTTCACAAATGCAACTGCACCTTAAGGAACAGAGACATGAAGTCTTTATTTACAAAATAATCTTGTTTTTGGGCAATATTATACCCTTTTACAAAGTTTGGATTTTCTTTTGGATTTTCATTTTCATGCTTGAATGTTCAAAAAACACATTATTTTTCACATAGGCCTATTCTCCATTGTTGCGGCTCCTCTCTTCCCAGTCTGTCAGTAACGCTCTGTTTAGTTCCTGTCTCTATGAAGCCCCTCCTTCTGAAAAGCACACTGTGCTCTGATTGGTCGTCTGGATCCGTGTGTTGTGATTGGTCGAGCGCTTCGAGTGTGTTTAAGAAATGTCCCGCCCCTTACCATAACCACCAGTTTCAATGAATTATTTAAATGAGGGATATAGTGACGTGTTCGTTCCCGGAAGAAACTCAAGACTACAATGGAGGCGTTTCAGGAAGTTCAGAAACAGAGACACTGATATACAGAATAACTCCCACTGGAGGGACTTTGCAGATCTTTTTCATGCTCAAACAGCAACATTACACACTAAACAAAGAGGAACATGGAAAAAAGCATAACAGGTCGTCGTTAACACTATTATAGTTAAATACAACACCCTGACATTAACACAAGAAACTGTTGAAATATGGTGTTTCTATGTTTAGTGGTAAAGAGATCAAACCCCCTATCTACTTTCTGTTACCTGTCTGCGCAGAGGGATGCTCTTGGCCAGCTTGTGAACCGCCAGCTGGCTGTTGAAGTCACTTTTCTTGGTGGAGCTGTGCATTTTGGCCAGCACGGCGGTCACCACCATCACACAGATAAGAAAGAAGCCCACGCAGTAGATCAGCACCTCCAGGTAGGTCTGGTTTGGCAGTTGAGTCGGGGGAATGGCTAGATTATGAAAGAAGGGAGCGATGCAAGGTGGCAGAAGGGAAGGGAATGAGCTTGCTGAACGCTAAAGGGATGATGTGTTTATTTACCTGAGAATGACAAATCAGCCTGTACCAGCAGAGCTTGAATGTTTGACAATCACTGCAACCGACTCTTTGCTAAGTCCCGCCTTAATGTTGCCATCCGCCATGTTATCAGGCAAGCTTTTGGAAACCATGTGTTCGAAAAGCTTTAAATGGAGTTTTAGATCAAATATCCCAAGACATTGTAAAATGTTGTTGCTGGCGCTCTTATAATAGTGACAATAAAAATAGTTTTTCCAAATGAGCATGTAACCCATCAGTAAAACACCTACATTTGCTCCAAAGTAAATTAATATTATTAAGTAAATTCATTAAATAATTATGGAAGACCATTTCCATCACAGATTTAAAAAAGGGACTTTTTAAATCTCACAAATCAGAAAGTTTATACCTCATTATTTTGAGTAAACATCTTTCTCCCAACTTAATATCTCGTAACTCTGCCGTTTTTTCTCAGAACTGAGTTTATTCTGACTTAATTTCTCACAATTCCGAGTTTATATCATTTCGCAATTCAGACTTTCTCTGAATTGCAAGTTGATATCTTGCGATTCTGCCTCTTTTCTCTGAATTGAGAGTTTATTCTGACTTAATTTCTCACAATTCCGAGTTTACATCATTTTGAGTTAAAATCTCTCAATTCAGACTTTCTTTTTCAGAATGTGTGTGTTTATTACATGTTTTTTTTTATAAATACAGCAACATTACGCAAGCTGGAGTGGGGCTTAGCAAAAAGTCAGCGGGAGAGAATATTTTGAACAATGACTCAATGTTGTATACATTCCTGCCAAAGTTAGATATCATATTAGCAGGAGACAATTTTTTTTTAATGTACATTTATAAAACCACAAACACACTGATGCACACACATGCACATGCACAAAAATCCTCTAAATGGAGATGTCGTTGTTCACGTGAATTGCAGTGAACACAAACTCCTATTGTAGCATCAGAATTACTTCTTTCATGGATCAGGTTTCATGGCACATTCTTCTGCTTATGTGACTAGCAGAAGAAGGAAACCACTGCTCATGATACTTGGCAGCCCTCGCTACGAGATTAGGCCAAAAAAAATGGCCTTATGTAAACTCATATGAGACATTAAATTTGCAACACAAATACAAATGTAAATTGAGAGGAATGGCTTATCTGGGTGGGTAGACAAAATCTGCGCGGGTATGCATTTCAGCAAAGTATAAATGGAGAGCTAGGTTATGGGGTAAAATTACATGAGAAGTCTGGCTGATATAGATATTTCCTATGCTATTTGGTTGGCGTTTGTCTGCCCCAAGGCTCTGGTTCTTTATACAGAGTTTCTTTCACACAGTTCATGCACACAAAAGATGTTATTGTATCATGTATACATTTCACACAACAATGCACATGCAAATGCATCTCATTGAAAGATCACTTCTCTTTGCCTTCTCTTTTAATAACTTAATGAACAATCAAATACATTGTAGCGTGGACATGAAGCTCAAATGCTCTTGAGTTATTATATTTACATAATGGTTTATGATAAGCGTAAGGCCCACAGTTTGCTGACTGCAACATGCAAATGCAAGAAGATCAACATTCAACATCCAGAATTCAATCTTATTCTTCATGTTGAATGTGTTTAAGACTTTGACTGACAAGCATCTTGATAAATCGAATCTATTCAATACAAGAATAGATTCACCTTCTAGGTGAGGTATTTATCAAACCCGAGCCAAAGAGGAAATGATGTCAGCATAGTGCTTATGCGTAAAATCATGCTCTTTGGGATGCTTGTCCAGTGTTCAGGCAAACAGAAATGTTAATTGGAAACAGGTTAATCTTGAAAAACTAGGAAAAGGATTTTATAATATAAAAAAGTCAAATGGAAACAAAGCTTCGCCAAACCACTAGCCACAGTGTCCCATCTGGTCTCAGTTGTTATTTGTTATACATTACATCATTTATTTTGCAGTTAAACTACAGCTCTTGTTCGCAAAACATCTTTAAATTAGGAAACATTTATGGTGCACTCAGTAATTTTGCACTGGTCAGTATTTACACACATACCGACACCTAGTAGCAGGGATGCGACATTGTGTGCAAAATCAATAGTTTTCTTTGTGGTAGGGGTGGGCGATCCGACGACTTTAAATCGTGATGGATGTTGAAGACATGATCTACTTTTCAAGTGAATCGCAGAGATTTTATGTTCTCATAATAGTGTTACAATACAGCAATGACTGCCTACTAGATGGCTGTGCTGACTGGCCAAATTATATCATGTGTCTTTCATGCGTGGTGACACAACTAATTCAACAGCAGTAGGGCTGTGCGATGAACACAGTTTTAGTTTCGGTTTCGATTTTGGCTTCCAAACATAATAATCAAGATCAAATTATCATTGTGCCGCATGCCGTCCCTTTCCTTTAAAGCGGTGTGCTTAAAAGCCTAAACTTAACGTCCAAATCAATCAAATCATGTAACGTGACTGTCATAAAATGACAGTGAGACATGCTTTATTTTTCAAAGAGTTATTAAAAGCGCATTAAAATGCGAACGAGACTGATCCCACACGCTTTCTGTGCGCTGCGAGAGCAGAACACGGACGAGCAAAGTATACTTGGGGTATCAGGTGTGCACCTAAACGGTCAAGTATATACAAAAATGTGTCAAAATATCCGCATTGGTGAGTATTTACATAAAGACAGTCAGTTATGTCTTAAGTGAACAAACAGTTGGGAAATTATATTAGATCCGTGCATTCAGTCTTAAAGGAGAACTCCGGCGCAAAATGAACATTTGGTCTAATTACACGTTGTTACCTAGTCAACCGTTATCTGAGATTTGTTTTCATGATTATCGAATGTAAATAGTTTTATCTCTAAAAACAGTTTAGCCTATAACGCTAGTATAACGCTAGTATATAGGGCATAGAGTAATGACAAATAAAAATCGCTTGTTAATACCACTAACAAGGCTCAAAATAGCCCCACACTAGCACGGTAGCATAATGAGGGTCCCTACCTTCAAACCGAAGCATTGAGAACTTTGTCAGTGTCCAGACAGTTTAATAAGAAGATATTTTATACACACAGTCAACTTCGCGTATACAAAAACAGTCTCTACCAGTCGATCTACGAACGCCGATCCAAGTGCGCTGGTGAGATGTGAACGAGCTATAAGTTGTGATAAGGTGAGCGCGAACAGTAGGCTTGGATCGGCGTTCGTAGATCGAGTGGTAGAGACTGTTTTTCAAAGATGGCTTCTGCCTGTATACGCGAAGTTGACTGTATGTATAAAATATCTTCTTATTAAACTGTCTGGACACTGACAAAGTTCTCAATGCTTAACTCAATCGGCCACAATTAATTGCAGAAGTGAATAAATAACATGGGGTTCCTGAGAAAAAGTGAGTAGTATTTGGCTGGTCATGTGATCTCAACATGACGCCCCCAATGAGCCGACCCACTACAATAAATCAGCTTACATAAGGCCACTATTATGACTCTTCAACTAATAATTAGTGTAAAAGATTTTTCTAAAATTATGTTCCTGTCTTCGAGTAAATATATACTTATGTGCACCTTTAAATTCAGTTGTGGTCAGAGACAGAGGGAGGTTTGGCTTGGCTTGATTCCACTTTTGTAAAGAAGAACAACAAACATGTCATTTTGACATGCTTCAACTGACATTTCAAGTGTCAGTCAACACCCAGATGAATAACAAAACCACAAAGCAGACACACAGGGGTTGAAGAATGGTGCGGTTCACAAAGAATTGTTATTTGCTATAAAACCACTGTATTGCTTGTAATGGAAGTAAATGAAAGAGCTAGTGTTTACTAGCACTGGCAATGTCTTAACCCTCATGTTCTGTTTAGAGACATTGAGGCTATTTTAATAGCTTAAAGAAATATTGATGACATTCACGTTAAAATTCTCTCAAAATACCGAAAATGGTGCTAATTTTTGTCAAATTGCACCCAAATCTTAATAACTGCACTATATTAGACAGTCATACTGTCTATACAAATATTAGAAGTGTCTGCACAAAATAGTCATATTTATAAAAAGTGAATGTCCACTTTGTGTGAAAAACGTGGTGGTATTTTGAGGTTTCGTGGACCTCAAAGATAAAAGCTATAAAGTCAATTTCAACAGAACATTTTGAACAGATTTTTATGGAAACTACTGCAATGATGTGACCAAATTCAACCCCCAGTGTGAACTGCCACTGTTAAGCCCAAAGTATACTTCAGTCTTGACGCAAACGCTTGGCGTATGTAAACAGCCTTTCATAGCGTGTGCAATAGAAAAAAAAATTTCCTCGTTCAGTACTTCTCTAAAAACGTCTTTGTACTCGTTTAACTGTGAACGGGTATGAAGACATTTCGAACATTGTTGCATCTCCAGTAGTTTGCTGTCGTTCCACCTCAGCGGTAGCCTGGGAAAACCCGATAACTTCCGGCAAATTTAGATTTGCTCTGAAAGTTAGTCTGGGAAAGAGCTCATTCAAGCCCATTTCCAATCCGCCGAAATCGCGGCACCAATCAGAAACGTTGGGGCGGGCTTTACACGATGACGACAGCGCTGGGATTTTGAAGCAGATTTTGTAGCCTACATTACAAAGATGGATGCCGCCGTCGAACATCACTCGTTCGAATCAGCTATCGCGTCTGTTTTAAACAATTTGAACGTTTCCTTTTTGTTAAAAACCGAGCAAAGAACAACACTCGGAGATGTTTCTCCGCCGCTCTGCATACGTCATCTCCTTCATCGCTCTGATTGGGTTTAGGTCTATCCGCGACGTCCGTTGGTGACGCCCCTCTGGAAATGATTTGTCTATGACGCTTTGCCAGACCATAACTCAGTTACAACTGAGAATGGTCTGGTTTTAACCAGGCTACCTCAGCGGTGAAACAGCGGCCTGGCGAGTGTTGCCGCCTTGTGGACAAACTAGTGCAAAAATCCTCAATGCACATGTTCGAGCTGAACTTACATTGTATGCGCGGTTAGAAAAATCTGAGTCCACGCATACACGCCCGCACTATGCTGACGAATACATTTGCATTACACGCACAGAACGCATACTCTAATCTACATGTAAACAACAAAATATACTTTGGGCTTTAGACAGGGAGAAACATCAACCAAAAAGAGCACCACAAGAACCACAGATACCTTTATAGACAGTCAACCATGCAGAGTGATGGGAGTGGCCGATAGAGTTCCCAGCCAAGCAGGTGTACTCTCCAGAGTCCTCTAAAGACACATTCCTGATCTGCAGTACCTCCATCTCCTTATCCGTAGTGTTGACGCCTGCCGTCTAGAGAAAAGAACCACAGGATGAAGCCGGAGAGCTCCAGGAAAACCCACCAGATATGAGAGAGAGAGAGAGAGTTTTTGGATGAAGAACGGTAAAGATTTGACATCATGGAGTAAGAGAAGGGTGCTGGAGAAACACCCTTCACCGTCCTTAAGGAAAGCAGGACAGCTCCATGATCGGAAGTGGATCCTTCGATGACCCTGCTGACAGATTGGTGGTCAGCTGGAGAACGGAGCACGCGGCTCCACCCGCTACAGACCCAACACCTGAAGACGAGGGCGACGTCCACCCGCCTCCATCTCCACATGCACAAGATGGGCCACATGGAACATTACCCAGCAGAGACTGAACACAATCGCTCTCACATTTGCACGCATTCAGAAAAGGAAGCAGTGGCATTTAGACTGGGAGATTAGAAAGGCTATGCGTGAGAAATATGTGCGAGTACGGATGTCAAAGGTACTGGCACTTTGCTTCAGGCGATGCTATAATACCCATTGAACAGCACTATTACGAACATTTAGCCATCTAAAGAAGTGGGCAGTGAGTCCTGTAGGCTGGAAATGATAACAAATAAAAGCTGGGGAAAATGGGGACTGTTTAAAAGGCTACACTGCATCATTCTGGTCTTCGGTTGTTCAGGAAATTTAAAAATCGTTTGGGATTAAAGTGCCACTGGATCCTAGATTGTGTATCCCTGGTGAAAATAATTGTGTGTTGGAAACAAAAACAATATCTATAATGTTGTATGCTGCTCGCCTTTCCATACTTCATGTTTGGATTAAAGAACACTCCCCTACTTTAACTCTCTGGCGTGAAAAACTCTTGTCACTCTTACCATACGAAAGACGGCATTATGTACTGGATGGAAGTCTGGATATTTTTGTAAATGATTGGTCTCCTCTTAAAGACTATTTTGGACGTGAATGGCCAGCAATAACATGTATTAATATGGATTGAAAACAAGAAGTGTACATTTATTGGATCCCCCCCCAAATAAGTATTTAAATATGGTCTGCGGTCTGTATAAAACTTGTGTAGAGAATGTGTATATATGTGCGATACCTGTGTATACATGAAGTATAAAATTGACACTGCTAACTAAATGTAGACGTAGCAGACCTGTAATAATTATTTATTTGTCATTATTTTTATTTATTTTATTTATATATTTATTTATTTTTATTTATTTATTTATTTTGGTAAGAGGAATTTTTTTTTTGAAAGTAAACAGTTTATAAAAAAAAAAAAAAAAGAAAAAAAAAAAGGCTACACTAAAGTCCGCAAAGCACAGCTTTCCCAATTAAGGTTTTATGCCCCCACATCGTCCTCCTTTGAAATGAATCATACCTAACATGATTAATCGCGATTAATCCCAAAAAAACATGCAAGTTATTAGTACAATTTCTCAAATCGATTTTGATTGCAATAATTACAATTATTATTAATACAATAATTAAAATGACTAATGTCATTGTTATTCTTGATAAAAACACAAGCTGTTATAGTGAACTACTCATTATTTATTAGCAGTATGCAACCAAAAGTTTCAGTCACAGATGAATTACCTTATTAAGCTTTTCAAGTATATACTTAAACTTTATAAATACATCAAGGCCTTATAAATACATATATGCCTTATATTTAATTATGTAGAGTTTAAAATAAAGGAGAGCATGTTAAATATCATTTTATTTTTAGCTGTGACATCAAAAACTGTGAAATGCCAGAGGTATTTGTGGCAGTTATGAGGAAGAAAGAGAGACTGCAGAATTTAATAGTCATGGAAACAAAGCAATCCTGAAGAGAAAAATAGCAGGTAAAGAAAAAGCCCTCGAGCGAGGTGAAGGAATTTAGACGGGCACATTCTCAAGGTGCCACTGAAATGCTTTTGAAGTGCAAGTAATCTTCAGAGGGCATGAAAAACACCCTTATTAGGAGGGCAAAATGCCGCACAGAGATGGAGAGAAGGAAACGTCCAGTGTAAACACAAGCCAAAATACTTCCAGTTGCTCTGCTGGGATTTTCCATGGCGTCATTTACGGCACCACAAGGGGCACCGCAGAAAACAAAAAAGAGCGACGAAGTGGGAAGATGTGTTACGGTCACCCAAGAGCCCGATAACCGCTGTCTCTACCTCCGTCTAACATCTACTTCTGCCTCTTTCTGCACTGATGTATCTCTGTAGCAGGGGGCGTGTGTTACCTTGCGAGTGTTTAACGACGGTGAGCCACGCTGATTGGTTGGCTTGGCCTATATAATTGGCCACTTTACATATATACTCCCCACTTTCTTCTTCTGTCACGTTGTACAGCGTCAAGACCTGTGTGTTCGAGCTGTTGACCCCAGAGTGCTGCGGAGGTCAAACATATGTCAGAGGTCAAGCACAAAGTCAAACATTAAGGGCACTGTGATCCCACTGAAGGACAACACCTGCCATTACAGCTCTTGTGAAATGGATTATGACAGCCTGCCAAGAATGTGGCTCATATTTTTCCCAAAAGCTGTTAGTCCTGCTCCATTTGCTGAGGTGCTCTGTCCATTGAGGTGAAGTAATATGGTGAAAGACACACACTTTTAACAGCGACCGAAAAAGTAAAGAACTTTAGACAAGACTGATTTCTGATATTTAAAGGGAAGTTCCAGGTTACAACTAAAGCGCTATATACACACACACATATACTGTATATATACACACGCCGTGTAAGTTTATGAGGAATTTGGTTTATGTTTATTCCATAGACTTAAACTGTCAGCTTCTAACAACACTTTTTGTTATTTATTTATTTTTTACAAAATGTAGGGTAGTGTTGCTATTGTTAGCTAAAACTAAAATATAGCTCATTAAATTATTAGATGACTAATAATTAAATTCTGAAAGAGTACCGAATCCTCCTCATCAAAACACATGCAAAAAAGGAGCAGAAACAAGCGATAAAACCATTGCTTGTGCACGTTGTAGTGTTAAAAAAAACCCAATATGAATACCGGTATGGTAATACCATGGTATGGTATTATCAGCTATCAGCTTTTTGTTCGTAATGTTGTTGTTTTTTAATGAAACTTACCCACAAGTGTTGATTAAAAAAAAGACTGCATATAGCTAGAATAAAAAAAAAAAAAATCTCTGTTCTTTCTTTTAATATATTGCATGTTCAGATATTCATACAACAAAATATTCCAGTGGCCATTCAAGTTTTGTGAAAATGATCAAAAAAGCTGGCGCTGGCAACTTAAAAAAAAAAAAACACACTGGCAGGGAAAGAGTTAAATTATTTGACTCTTGATTAAATATTGTAAACTTTGAGGCGTCACCACATTATTAATATAGACAAAAAGACACTTTTGTCAAATGGACCAAATACCTTGGTGTTAGACCAAACATTAGGAGCTTGACTAGTAAGAGGAAATGGATTTTACCTTCAAGATTCGAACGTACGGCAGTCCGTCAGGGCCGACTCTGCTGCCGTTCACCTCGATGTGCTTCAGCCACTGGATGTGTGGCTGAGGATCACTGAAGACTTTACACTCGAACTCCACGTCACTTCCCACCACTGCGGTGCGGTTAGCAGGCAAACCAGCCTGGAGGATCGGCCTGTGCGGTGAACGCTCTGTATCACACACACATTTATGTCAGTGAGGTTGAAATAAACCTGATTAACAATTTTTTTCAATTCTTTCCCCTCTTAAAGAAATCAAAATGTGAATCTGTATTACGGCAAATGGGATCTTCAACAGGGCTCGACAATAAGGACCGCTCGATGACACAACTGACACATGTCCGATCGGGCATCATGAAAGTTTATCACTTGCACGTGTTTTTAAGCCTTGACAATTTAAATATTCAAGCGCAAGAAGACGCGAAAGAGATCTAAATTCAATAGTGTGAAGTTTTGATGCGTGCGCCCAGAAATGCGAATGCTGAATTGAGCTCTCGTTCACGTCTTCTTGCACTCGAACGGACATATACACACACAATTGCATCAGAAAATGCCAGTCTCAGCGAGTATCCTAGTAACCATAGTCTGTTATATCTTAAGTGCCATAAACAGTTGAGAAATAAAATGCGTGCGTGTCAGTATATTGGATCCGTGCAGCACTTAAACTCTTTGTTTTAATGTTAATCAAACAACAAGGACAAATAAAAAGTATCACTCACTGCTCCTAACTGTTGTAACTTTTCTATATTTAATTTATACAGAGAAGACTATTCTATTTTACATTTGATTATTAATTTTCTCTACCTGAAAATTACTGTTAGACTAACCTGAAAATCACGAAAAGCAGTGTTTATTTCATTTGTATGTTCATTCTATTGTATTTGAAATATTGCTCGCAATTTGATTATTTGTTCTTATTTTATTGCTGACCGCTTGCTATATATATATATATATATATATATATGTTCTTATTTTATTGCTGACCGCTTGCTATATATATATATATATATATATATATATATATATATATATATATAGCAAGCAGTCAGCAATAAAATAAGAACAAATAATCAAATTACGAGCAATATTTCAAATATATATATATATGTTAGCAGTTTTTGGTGGCACAAAATTATTTAAGGTTGTCAAAAACAACGAAAACAATAAATAGGCCTAACTTTTTTATTATTATTATTTATTACTTCTTTGTGGTGGGCCAGTGAAAATTTTTGCGGGGCAAATAAAAATTTTAACAACCTAGAAAAAGTAGAAAAAAATCCTTAGCGTTCATTAGATGCTAATATCCCAGACAGAGCCCACAGGGAGCAGCCAATTTAACAAGCAGACTAAAAAATCATTATAATTGCTGTAATTTAGTGGAAATGAGTGGAAATGTTATTTTAAGCCACAGCCCATCTCTCAGAACTTCTGAAAAAAAAGCGGCAAGCAAGTCTATAAATCTACAAACAATCATAAAAAAAAGGAGAAAGAAAAATGTACGTGTCCATTTTATTGTGATACAAATCGCACATGAACTCACATCGCAATTACATCCTCTGAACTCATAAGTAGGAACGTCCCAAGTGGACTTGATGCCGTAGATGTGTGAGTGTTGTGTGTGAGTGACAAATTCAAATGGTGTCTTCTCATGAATGTGTATGTAGGGTGCAAATGATGTCACAGCAGCACTGATTTATTTGCTACTTAATGAAGGCATCAATCAAGTCCATGTCAGCCAATCAGTGTTTGAATTACTTCACTCCACATACACTGATCTCATCTTGAGCCGCTAACCACGTCTCGAACTCATCCACTGCATCACGTAAACACTTTATATTTGCAATGGATCATTTAACACTCACCACCAACAGAGTACGAGTGCCTGTCCTTGACAAGCACGTACACACAGACGCTCGCACGGAAAATGTAAAGCGAGCCGTTACTTCGGTTCATTTCAGGGAAGTAATGGTAACCATTAGTGGTGCTGCGCCAAAGCATTAGCTGCATGGTGAACAACACCCATTTGCATCTGATTGACTCAAGTAAACATTGCAGTGCTTCTGCGACCCTCCCTTGGGGATCATTTGCCCGTGCTAGCTAAAAGCGTAAATAGATTTAATCAAAAGGGTTTGCAATAAATCACTGCAGCTGAGCTGGTGGGGAAGGAAAGACCAACACAAAGAATAAGAAAAAAGTTGGGCTTGGGTGTAGATGATATTTGCATCAACATAACTTAAAATGTAGAGGTAAGACAAGAAATAAGACTGACCGACTACGTCCAGCTGGTAGGTGTGATTGATGCTGCCGTATTTGTTTTCCACCAGGCAGGTGTAGTTGCCTTTGTCTGACGGTACCACCGACTCCATTATGATGGTACAAATACGCTCCCGAATCTGTGCAGTAAAATGAAAAATCTTTTTAAAAAAAGTGTGCAGATTCTGTGCGCGCCTAAATGCAATTAAATTTAACACATAATGTAATCTATTTAGAAAAATAGCATCTATTTAAACTAAGTGCAAATAGCCCGCCTTGTTGGCTGAGGCTATTTACACTAACTCCACCCACCAATGTCTGGTTGGGCCAGACAAAAGTACTTTAACATCACATTAACGCATTTGGCAGACGCTTTTATACAAAGCGGCTTACATTGCATTTTTAAGGTTCACACATTCACATTCTTAACAATTCTTGCTTTCCCTGGGAATCGAACCCATGACCTTGGCGTTGCGAGCGCCAACGCTCTACTGTTTGAGCTACAGGAAAGCTAAACTTGACGTGCAGAAACTTGACGTGATCAACCCGATTTTCTTTTCTCATCGCATATCGGATTTATTTTCAATAAATATGTAGAAAATATATGAAAAGTGGAATTAAAGTGCCTAATCGTTTATCGTTATGGCTAGGGGTAGGTGTAAGGAGGGCATTTTAGACGGCATTTTAGGGCTGTGCAACGATTAATCAAATCCAAAATAAAAGTTGGAGTTTACATAATATGTGTGTACTGTGTATAATTATTTTGTATATATATATAAATACACACATGCATGTACAGTATATATTTAAGAAATATTTGCATGTATATACAGTACACTGTATATATATTTATATACAATTTATATTATATATAAATAACACATTTTTCTTAAAAATATACATGCGTATATTTATACAAAATAATTATACACAGTAGACACACACATATTATGTAAACACAAACTTTTATTTTGGATGTGATCAATCGTGATTAATCGTTGCACAGCCCTACGTCATTTAATTTAATAAACATAATCATTTACACTCAATGGGTCTCATTCATGAAACATTCGTAAATATACGAGTAAATATGCGAGTGATTTGCGCGTTAAGAGACCTTCCCGAAAACTCTTCTCCTGATTCACAAATACTTCGTAAACGTCAGATGTGATAGTGAAATGTGTGTGTGTTAATGAATTCCAATCAGTCGTAAATGTGACGCGCGTGCACGCTCATTCTCAATTACCATAAATCCCGCCCATTGAATCCGACTGACAACTATATATGGGCATCATATTATGACACCAAACGAAGGATTTCAACATGTCTTCTCAAAAGCGAATGAAAAAGAAACATTTCTCAGATGCAGAAATCGAAGTTTTATTATCAGAAGTTCAAGTTTATTTTCAAGCGTAGGCTATATAGTGGCGTATCAGGTCCTAAAGAAAAGCAAGCTTGGCAGCATATTACAGATGCAGTTAATGGAGTTTCATCTGTTAATCAAACAGTCCCAGAAGTAAAAAGAAAAAACTTATGTAATTACTATATATAATATTTTTTCAAAATGCTGTGTAAATATGTACCCGATTAAGGTGAATTAAAATGCAGCCTAAGTTATTAATGAGCAAAACGTTTGGATGTTAAACTCACTATTTACGCGTGGCTGGGAGCAGGTGCAGATTTCTTTCGTACCAACTAACATTTGGAAAATACGAACATTTTAATGAATCCGAAAATTTACGCCAGAACCACTTTACACACGATTTACACAAAAATTCGTTCTGCTCGTGTTTCATGAATGAGACCCAATATGTTATTATTGCATACTGTTTTATAATACTTAACTACAATTTACACTCATTGCAAAGGAAATACTGCCATTTTCACTTGATGTAAATAGCCGCTGCCTTTGCAAAATTGCCTGTATGGAGGCACAGAAGTCACAAAACTCTTCAATTAAAGACTTCTATAGACAAAATCTTCTTGCAGCCCAACATATAAAAGCAGAAAACTGCTAAATGCATTAGAGGGCTGATTGTCTTTTAAGATCATTTCTATGAAAGGCTGAGGAAGTTTAACAGAGCGAGCTGGCAGCAAATCCCCGTCAGGTCAGTTTAACATCAGTCAGGCACAAGAACAGAGCCGTGGAGAACAGCTTGTGGAGAGTGGGAAACAGGCCGATCCATGTCCACGAACACACAGCTCTCCTCAAGCCAAGAGCTCTATAAACCGCCAGCGAACATCAAACTTCAGTCTATTAAACAACATACGTCTGCTAAGCAACATGGACCTCTACAGATCAGTGGTGATTTTAACAAATACATATTTTTTTTATTAAACTAATAATATATTTGTGTATTTTGTGTATATTATATTGTATCAGCATATGGCAGATGTTGACAACATTTTTGCTATTTGGGAATTATTTGTCTGTTTGACACAAAGTTATGCACAAGCATAACGTTACGGTACTAAATATTGATATTTTGTCCTCTCCTTTTGTGTTCCACATTGAAATATGAATGTCATTACAGGCTTGGAATGTGCATAAAGGTGAGCAAATTATTTTAGGGTGAACTAAACCTATAAAGATCCAGCAAACAGAGCATGTGTTCTCTGCAGTAACAGCTTGATGAAATGAGCTTTAGGTTGGGCAAAATTAATAAGCGGTTATAGCTTCTCGGCCAACAGAACCCCAGATGTGAGCTGCTACACTCACAGTCTGTCTGACTTCCTCTTCACAAACACTTAATGTAAATGAACAATTGTGCCAGACTCTTGTTAAACAAAAGAAACCACGAGAGACTGGGAAGAGTGCAGGGGGGAGGTTACTACGAAAAACTGCAGCCGGGCCCCTCGACGGAAGTCCTTCACACTCCTGGAGCTCAGAGACACGTTTGGATGCATTTATGCACGCATTACTACCGCTATGATATGGTACTGAGTCTGCCTCCACACACACACACAAAGAAAGCATATTTCTTAGTATACTCAAATGTCTGTATAAAACCATGTCAATGCACATGTTACTGTGTGTGCGTGCATGTGTGTATGCATTGCAGTGGCCTCAAACACACTCCAGATGGTAAAGTGTGTATGCGGTGAGGGAGAGGAAGAGGACTAATGTCTCCCAGCTGGAAAACACCTTGATGAGAAACACAGACGCTACAGGTCCACAATGACACAAGCAGAGAACTGTGGAGAATACCACTATAATGTCATGTAGAAGGGAGAGGAATAGATTAAAAAAGAAAAAAAAAATGTAATTTTGATGTGTAGTATTTTCTAGAGAAATATTTAAACACAAATAAAAATAACCTGTCATTATCGCATTCTCATTTTGATTTTCTAACAAGTAAGCTGTGGCCAAAACTCACTCAAAGCAGTTCTCCTAATGACGCGTTGCTAAGAAATCAATTTAAACGTTACTTTGGGTTTGTTGACATTCCTGATCAACATGGTTAAATGAGTACAAGGACGGAGCTGGTTTATCCTGGAGTTTATTCTCATCTGTCTGAGCACAACGAGTAAAATAAGGACAGCCAAGCAATAGCAATAGTCGGCCGCCTCCACCAGAAACCCACGGCTCCAATGTCTGCCTTCCAGGCATGGTTATTCAACCTCTGTCATGCAACAGTGAGGTGTCTGGAAGACAAATCTGTTGAGAAGGAGGTGCCCTTTTAACCTCCAAATCACAGCAGCTGGCTAGCAAAAATGAAGTTTGGGAACCAATTTATCATCATAAGAGTTTATCAGTGGACTAATTTCACATCAGCTTTACCTGCGATTCTGTTAAAGTCCCCCTGTAATCAATAATTGTATCCCTTAAAACGAATCTTTGATCACCAAAATAACATATTTAAACTTTTTTTCTTTGAAAAATGCCTTAAAATAGATTGAATGTAACCCGACACCCTTGCCTCATTTAGTATACGCGGTTCTATGAATATGCAAATGAGCCCCGCCTCCACTCACTCACTCAGCTCAGAGATCCACTGGTTGACGATCACACGTTGATCTGATTGGTTACAAGGTCGTTTGTGACGTCAGAAACACCAGCGATTTCAAACCGTGTTTTTGAGACTGTCTTTGGTTCACTGCAGTTTTAAGCAGAAAATACTCAGCAATGCTGTCGACTTATGAATTTACACATGGTTTGTCTTAAATCATATTAAAAACACCACAAAGACATATAAACAACATCAAAAGCTGGATTTTCACCACAGGGGGACTTTAAGATTAAGACAGGGATATTTTGAAAGCATCTCTGAGATATAATTGGGATGTTGTGTAGTTACCCGCACCTTGAAGCCTCCTATTCGCTGGTCTCTCTTAAACTCTTTGCCGTTCTTGAGCCACTTGAGAGTTGGTGTAGGGTTACCGTTGACCTGGCAACGGAACTTGACAGTTTTGCTGGCGGGAACCGCGTGGAGCTTCTTCTCCATCTTATCAGGTTGAGCCCAAACAGGAGCCATTGCTGAGGAAGCGATAAAAAGCACAAAAAATAAGACTGAGAAAATTACTATGAAACTACAATGTGAACAGAATCAGGAGGATGACCATCTTAGAACAGTAATACAAAGCAGCGATAAGAGCACGTTCCAGGAGAGTGATTGTACAGATCAAAGTGTGCAAGATTTGGGTGTTGGTCGATGGTTTCGCTCCTTTTGACTGGCTTGATAGTGCCCTTGGGACTTAAAGACTAATCCATCAAAAGACATGAAGACTTTCAGTCTAATAAACTAAAGCTTGGCACATTCCACAAGACGGCTGTGGTTTATAAAACAAAAATGTGCACTATTTCCTGTTATAATTCCTGCTTTGAAACGACAATCCTAACAATATTGATTCGCATTGACATTTTGAGTCAGAGTTTCGAGAACAGAGAGTTTGACTAAGAGAGCAACGGTGACTCACGAAGCAGCTTCTGGTCACTTGATAGCTTGGCCTCCTCTGAGGAAGACTCATCTTCATCATCATCTTCTGAGAATATCGATCCATCTGACCAAAGAACAGAAAATCAGGTTATGTTTTTGTTGTGTTTGTGAACAATACAAATGTCAAGCTATCAGCAGTTTTGTATTCAATTGGTTTCTCACCTGTAACGTTGACATTGAAGTAATCTGTACGGTTGCTGTTGGGTCCCTGAGCAAAGCAAGCGTACAGACCGGAGTCGGCCGGCTCCACTGTTTCGATCTCCATCTGGTCGCTGCGCAGACGCGTGTGCTCTCCGTCAACCAGTGGAACATGGTCCTTAGTCCAGGTCACCTCCTGTGTCTCCTCTTTACCTTTACAGCTCAGCTCCAGTTTATCCCCCGGATACAGAGTGAACGGCGTGGGATCAACCAGGGCTACCACTAAGAACAAGACGAAAAAAATTGTTATTATAATTTGAATTCCTGAAAAGAATGTTCTTAAAAATAATCGTAAAGAATTCTTAAGTTCCTATCCAACCATTAGGGAAAACCACCAAACTGGCGACCATTAGGATAACCTCCAACTTAGTTAAATCGAACTCCAATGTCTTAAATCTACAAAGATGTTGGGTTGTTTAAAATATTAAGCATTACAACATAAAACTAGCCACACATAATATGCATCACTATTACTAGGGATGTGCACAAGTACTCTAAAGAGACACCAATGATTGATAATGTGAACAATGATCGGCCATATTGAGTTACGTGACTTTTTGCAGAATTCGAAATTCTGAAGAAAAAAACCCCACAAAAACAAGTCAAATAGGGATTTTGACAATTTTGTGCGTGTGTCCGTTCAAGCGCAAGAAAACACGAAAGAGGAATAAATTCGGTGTTCGAACGCTGTCACAAACTCGCCTCTCTCTCTCTGTGCGAGCGCGAGTCCCGATTTTCGCCGCCTCTTCCGCGTTTAAAATCGTTTGAATATGTAAATTGGGAAGACAAAACACATCCGAATGATAAACTTTCACTCAATGATTTCATTCACTTATCATCATGAATGATGCAATCAATCCTACTCCAGTAAGTAAACGTGTAATGTTGGTACTCAAAAGGGTTTCCCTCCATGTTTTCTGCTGTGCATAGTTTATTACCACGGATGCCCACAATACAATACATTTGTATTGTGCACATAACTTAATCATAAGTTATGTGCACACCTGTTTATAATAATCATTTCGAAATATTTTTATTGGTTTTGCTCAGTGATAGCATGTGCTTAAATGATGAGAAGAAACCTTAAGCGCTTTAAAAAACGCATATATTCACCTCGGTTTGATGCTGTAAATGTGGTTTGATGTTGCATAATCACCAACCAGTAAAGTACAGTCTGAGGGCTCGTCTACACACGTCTCTTTTGCTACAGTTACACCTGGCGTCCACACTACTCCAGAGAGTTTTGGAAATGCTGAAAACTCTGCCACACATGGCTGTTCAAATTCGGTCCCTGATTGGGTCTTCTGGATCATTGCGTATACTTCCCTGGTTCGTCAAGCCCCCATCATATGACCAATCTGTTGCTGGTTTGAGTGGCACTCGCCTTGAATTCATTCAGCTGTGTACGACAGTCTCTAAACAATCACTAAACTATTTCATGAAAACACTCTGCTTGGAGAATGTATATATTTATTTATAGAAATTCTGAATTTTATATTTTAGAAAACTGAACAAGGGCTATAGTCTGGAAACACAAATATTTCTCCATACTTCGTTTTTATTTTTCCCTATGCTTTTCCAGAACTGGAAATAACTCAAATCAAATTTCATACTTTTCCAAACCGCAAAAATTTTGAAAATTTTCCCAAAATGTTTATGGCCCCCAGAACATATCAGAAGAAAGAACAGACCATCTGCTTAAAAAAAAAAGAGGAAAAAAAAGCGTTTTATTGTAGCTTCATGCATTTAAATGTGGGTAAGATTAACAAAAAACAAAAACAAAAACAAAAACATTGAGCAAATGGCTGAGAAAAATGTGTTTTTGTCACAAACTACATCCAGATCGGATTCAGAACAATGATAAAAAAAAACAGATGGAGTAGATCGAGTTCATCAACACCCCTAAAGCTTCACAGTCCTAAAGCCTAAAGATTTATACGCTGTTTAATGTTGTCGATTGCATTATTTTACATATGCGTCTGCTTACAAATGATATCGCTTGTTTCTGCTTCTTTTTCACGTCTTGTACTCTTTCAGAAGATGTGTAATAGCGCCCCCTAGCGTATAACAGTGAAAACAAGGCAATCAGTAACTTTCCGTCAATGGCGGGGAAAGAGTTAAGATAACATTTGAGAACTTAAAGTCCACCTGTGGTGAAAATCAAGCTTTTAAATGTTGTTTATATGTCTATGTGGTGTTTTTAATATGCTTTAAGACAAACCATGTGCAAATTCATAAGTCAACACTATTGCTTGGTGATCAAAGATGAGATAAGGGATACGATTATTGACTACAAGGGGACTTAAAGAATTTTAACATGTCTCAGAATTGATCCAAAGAAACTCCTTTCTTAAAAAGATTTTTGTGAGTCAAACCCTCGAACATTGTTGCAATTGGCATCCTATAGATGGGCAGAAACACCTTCTAACGTCGATCAAAGATACCAGCTCAGTCACTGCTAAATCAAATCCGAGTTTGAATTAGTCAAGAGCCAATTGTCAGGCCAATTCTGAGATAGAGCTCAAATTTGATTATGGGATGCAAGGTCGGGGGCATTGCCTCGGATACCGCCACCTGAGCCCACCCGTTGCTCCAGGCGACCAGTGGCGCGGGGGGGGTCTGGTCTAAATATAATTACGCAGATTCATTGTCCATCAACATGTCATTCATTCATCTGCACCTTTCAAGCAATTGGCTGTGCACTCTTAAAGGGGAAGTGCTTCTTGTGGAGCAGTGCACTAGGGGATTATCCCTGTTGGGGTTCCTCTTTAAAAGAATAGACTGATGTTGTCAAAGAGCAAATTCTGACACCATATGCTAATTCTGACTCTATACTAACGGCGTGAGATGAGGTGAGATTTTCACATTTACAAATCAAATGGTGACTGCTTCGTATTCAAAAGCTAATTGGATTAATTTCCGTTCAACAACAATGCATTTGACTTGCGCTGAGGGATTTGAATGACACCAACTGGTTTCCTGTAAAAGATGCACCAGGACTTGATGATTGTTCAAAAAAAGGTCAAATTTCCATGAAATCCTGCCACCTTGCAGAAGACGACATTTACACTATTGTTTTGAAATGTGAGTCAATCTAAAGAAACAATGCGTGGCCTACATCCCATTGAGCCACTTTTGGTAAAAAGACCCCAAAAAATAACACGTAATTGCAAAGTATAAGTAAGAAAATTACAAAAGAATTTCTTCTGAAAAGTCTGCCAAAGGTGTGCGGTTGTGAAAAAGCATTCAGCGCACATTTCATGAAACCACTTTGGAGAAACTGGTGTGCTTTTTTCTTTCCCCTGACACGTTTTTAATAGTAAACGTAACCCAGGTTTCCTCTTGACTAGTTCTGCTGTAGTAACTCCGCCCATCACTACCATTAACTCTGCTAATAAAGGAGAGCGAGCGAGAGGCCTGTAGCAGCAGGTTTTTTGGGATGGTATCCATGGTGACCTCAGTAGGGTCTAGTTAAGGTATTTCCTGCTTCACATGTGTCTAACAGGCTCTTAATCCTGACAGGAACAGGGGCCAGGGAGGGATCAACTTTCCCCTCCAAAACACTGCAGAAAAGAATGAAGGAAGAGACAAGAAGATGAGCTAGTCTAGTCTAATTTAGACACAAATAGAAGCTTAAAAAGAGGGCGAGTAACCATAGTTTAAATAAGTAAACACTTTTCCAAGGTTGGATTGCTTTTATAAGTCAATTATATACCTGGAATAGCAAAAAGCTAGTATACATTTGCACCCACATTGCTTAGGGGAAAAAAAAACTTTAATAGGCCTTTTGTGACAACATGCCCCAATAGCAGGCATCATGTGGGGTAAATAGTCAAAGAAATCCAGCTATTCATACATGCAAAACTCTCCAACCATTGTTAAACCAATACTATAATTAATGCATTTTTTTTTTTTTTTGGTAGCACTATATTTTACAGCCCTGTTTCACATGGACATACCATGTATGTACTTAATAATAATTGCAATAACTGGGTAATAACTAGGTACTAACCCTGAACCTACCCCTAAACCCAACTCATTATATTACCAGTACTTTCTTAAGTACACTTTAAGTACATTCAGCACATACTGAAAAATTAAGTTTTTTTTAACTGGTTCCCAACCTGACAGTTTCAACCTTTATATTTTCAACCAATATGACAGCATTCAAAGAAACTAACTTCTACCCTAAATAAGCACAGCCTCACTTGACCTCAGTGACAGTGAGCCAGAAATACTTCACATTATAATTGATGAATTCATAACACAGATACACAACTGACCATAAGTTCGTGACAATGAGGTTTCAATTTCCTCTTGGCATTTTGAATCGAGCAGAACAGATGCCGAAAACATTTTGCACCAGTCACCAGAGAAGCTGTTTACTGCGAGGCATCAAGTGAGAGTATTCCACAATAATCACACAGGGAGAAAACTATACAGCTGCTTTATGATTTATAGTCATTAATCGACATGCTTCCTTTCCAGGATATTAAATAGTGGCATGTTACCAAGACATCAGTCACTTCAAAGCACAAAACACCATGCAATACAAGCTGAGGACATGCACCGGTGTGCGAGCAGTCCAGATGTTGTCTGGCACAACCACTTCTCTGGAAATAAGAGCATTAAATTGAAGAAAAAAAAAACTTATGAAGGGGAAACAAATTTGGTGTACAGGTTGTTTAAAAAAATAGGAAGCAAAAAATGAAAGCCAAAGAGTTAAATCTATTGAAATATTGTTTTTTAAAAAATATTTAAAAAAAAAAGGTATATTATATGTATATTAGGGCTGTCAATAGATTAAAATTTTCGACTTGGATAACATTTTTGAAAAAATTTGATTAATCACACACGTATCGTGAAAATAAGCATATGCAGTTTATCTTGTTTAGCACATTATTTTTTTGCTATACTCAGCAAAGTAAACCACCAGATTGATGATTCTCAAAAAAACACTTTCTAAGGTAGGTTTAGAGGTCTTTCCAAAAGAGGAAACTTGGAGACTCCAAAAGGACACTAATAACTAAATGAGTTTCTGCACACCAAAGCACCTAAAAAAAAAAAAACTAGCTTTCTAGAGCCAAGAAACGTAGTGTGCGTATCATCTGGCCCATACAGTGGTGTCCGTTTCAGTCTTTCACTTGCGCTCTTCATAAACAATCACAGAATATGACAGAGCTTGTGTTTTAAAGTGAAACACACACTGGAATGAAGAATAG